ACGGGTAAGTCAAGCACCCCAGAATGGCTTGACCTAGGTAGTCAGGCACCCCAGAATTGCCTGGCAGTATATGTGTGTTACATTATTACGTGGTAGTGGTAGGGGTGAAATAGTCCCCGGTAGTCGAGCGAAATAGACCGACGGGCAAGTCAAGCACCCCAGAATGACTTGACCTGGGTAAGTCAAGCACCCCAGAATTGCTTGACCTAGGTAAGTCAAGCACTCCAGAATGGATTGACCTGGGTAGCCAGGCACCCCAGAATTGCCTGACAGTATGTTATTGTATGGTGTGTGGTATGATGGGGAACTCACTAAGCTTCGTGCTTACGGTTTACAGTTTTGGTTTCAGGTACTCGTTTTTAAAAGAAAGGAGCCGGTTCGATCGCAGCGCATCACACTATGGTTTTCCGCACATGAGATCTTTGGGATTACACTCTGATATTGTTTTATAATATTATAGATGTTTCTTATACTATTGGTTTTATAATAACTTAATTTAAACGAAATTTTTGGCCTGGAATTTTGGGATGTTACAAGTTGGTATCAGAGCCTTGGTTTGAGGGATTCGGGCACACTCCCGGGTATGTCTGAACTCAAACTAAGCACTTGGTATGAAAGTTTTCAAAAGTAAAACCCTTTTATAAAAAGAAGTTTGAAAAGAATTTGAAAAGAGAAAAGAAGTTTGAAAAGAACAAGGTGTGTGATGCGTGCAATCAGCCGAGCTCAAGTAAGTTTTCCCCAAGATACCCATACATGTTATGATATGTTATGTTATGATATGATTATGAGAATTGCATGCTAGATTAGGGCTAAGGATCTAGGTGGATGCCTTATATGCCTATTGTATGTGCTTGTAGACTTGCATGCTAGTACTGATAGTCAGTAATAGGATAGCCTGTTTAGGTTATGCCTGATTGTTTGAGCCTTTGAATTGCATGTACAGATTCTTGATTAGGGGATAGAATGATTTGATTGGAATATGATGGTTAGATTTTCCATTGTCTGAATGTTGCTTGCTTTGTGCTTTATGGGACTCTTAGTAATGTGAGCTAACTATTAAGTGAATATGCTAAGAAACATGGAACACATGCCTGATAATCTCAGAGTGATAGACTTGACCCTATTGCGCAGCTCTTGTCTGAGTCCAACCGTTCTAGGGATGGATCTTTTACTTGTAGGATTATCTGATCTCTGTTGCATGTGGCTATATTCATAAGGTAGCTAGTTGACATTACTGGGAATCTTTCAGCAGCTGAGGACTGGGTGAGTTCGGGAACCTAGGAAAACCTAGGATATATTTCAGTGAGTTAGGAGTGAGGTTCAGTGAGACTTGGGTGTACCAGTTTGAGGAAGTGACTTGGAGGATTCGGGAGGATTACTGAGGAAAGTATGGATAGGTGTGGAAGGTAGTATTGGGCCCGTACTACTGAAAGCACATGATCCATACTTGAATCGGTGAGAGTCTTGGAGAATCTGAGAAGCTTCAAGGAAGAGTTTGTGACCCAGTTTAGGGACATAGGATGTTCCAGTGTTGCAGCTTAGCCATTGGCAAGTGAGCTAGTGAGCGTGACAGGGTGTCAGGACCTGAAGGATATGAATTCCAAGAGGTTGCAGATGCGAGATCGATTTGGAGCACTTTGAGAAAGTAGGTTCGTGCCAGGTGCGTATAGTAGAGGGTCCCAGGAAGAGACCCATGACTTCTAATCATCGGATGAAAGGCCAGCAGGTCCGGAGTCAGTGCAACGCGTATGAGAAAGTGCACGAGGGAGTTTGTCACTCCAAGGGTTTAGGCTGCTACAGGTGTGGCAGGGTTGATCATGACAGTTGAAGGTGATCAGTATTCCTCCAAGTGTTGCGGGTATGTCGTCTTCTACTGCCGCTAGATGGATGTTGGGAATACGTATCGCTTTGGAATTGTGAGTGGGTTTGGATAAGTCAGACCTCGGGTCGGTTTTCCTGCTAGTGTTTGGGTTATCAAGGATCATATATGCCATTCTGCATGCCGAAAGGTCCTTGATGAACCCACAGAGGGACGCATCTTGCGGAATGGGTTCCGCGTGGACCGTTATCAATCTGGATCCTTGTCGGGATCTGTGCAGGAGTATTATTTAGAGGATACTCGGTCAGGGTTAGAACGATAGTTCTTTAGTGAAGTTAGCATTCCGTGGTTCTATCATGGTTCAGGTATGGTCGACGGCTTTCTACGGAAGAACTTTGGAGTTCAAGGAACCACCGCTGCCAGGAAGGTATTGGTAGTAGGAAGAGGATAGTGTCATATGCAGGCAGCAGATGCACAAGTGGTTGGTCATTGGATGTTCAAGAGAATTGTATTTTCGCATGGGCTGTGTTCGGTTAGAGTTTAGTGGTGCTGCGAGATTGGAAGTGGGAACGAGGACTCGTCAGCCCAAGTTAAGATTAAGGCCTCTAGTGTCAGCATGGGAGATGGATTGAGGTGTCATACTGGACCAGATTTCAAGAGTACTCGTCAAGATTTCAGAGGACGGGCGATCTCAAGGTTCAACCGGTGATTTATCGCTAGCATTGGTAAGTACAGGTTGTCATCAGTGGGATACTAGAAAGCGAGAAGGATTGGGAATCTTTCAATTCTCGCGTACAGTGAAGACTTAGTCGGATCTAAGTTGGGGAGAGACTTTTTATAAAGTTCTCCAAATGTGAGTTCTGGTTGCACGAGGTGTAATATCTTGGGCACCTTGTCAACCAAAAGGGTATTCTGGTCGAGCCGGCCAAGATAGAGGTTGTGATGCAGTGGGAGATTCCGAGGTCTCCAACTGAGATTCGGAGTTTCCTGGGTCTAGTGGGTTATTACCGGAGGTTTATACGGGACTCCTCCGAGATTGCAGTTCCTTTGACCCGACTGACCAAGAAGTCGGTGGCCTTTCGTTGAGGGCCTGAGCAACAGGCAACCTTCGAGACTTTCAGACAACAGGTTTCGGGAACCAGGCTAGAACTTCGGTTAGGACTCAAGTTCGGTTGAGTGTTAGGTCGAGTGCGTGTTCGACCCGGTTCGGAAAGTGTTGTAAGACTACGGGGGTAGCCGTAGCGTTCACTAGTGGTCAGATAGCATGGAAAGTGTTGTAAGACTACGGGAGTAGCCGTAGCGTTCACTAGCGATCAGGTAGCATGGAAAGTGTTGTAAGACTATGGGGGTAGTCGTAGCATTCACTAGCGATCAGGTAGTATGGAAAGTGTTGTAAGTCTGTGGGTGTAGCCGTAGCATTCACTAGCAGTCAGTTAGCATGGAAAGTGTTGTAAGACTGCGGGGTAGCCGTAGCATTCACTAGCGGTCAGATAGTGATAGAGTGTTGTAAGTTTGCGGGTGTAGCTGTAACATTCACTAGGTTGGTAGATAGCTTGAGCGCGTTGTTAGGACGCGGAAGGAACAGTAGTACCCACCAGTTCGGGTGTAGCAGTGAGGATATGGAAATCCACGGATTGGATTTTGGAATTACCCGGACGGATTAGATCCGGTTGCGCCAGTGATAAGAATGTGGGAGCGCCACTATAGTTATGAGATCAAGGAAGCAAGGGATTGCTAAAGGTCATTTGTGATATAATTCTAGCGTTGGTCATGTAGCAATCACTTTTAGCCTCGGATTTGGCGACGTCAGGATTCGACGTAGGGACCCGATCGGTTGGATCGGGAGGTTGTTAGAACCACAGTGGCATGATAACTAGTCGCATCTAGTTCCAAAGAAGGATTTCATTCAGAAGTCGTGTGAAATGACTAAGTGGGAGTCCTTTGGCTCCGCAGCCGGGCGTAAACCCGGTATTTCAGAGGATTGATGAGCGAATTGAGACCCAGGAGGTCTCGGTAGCTTTTGGTAAGTGGCCATGTGGCAGCATACTGCTTCAGGCAGTTCAGTGTTCGGGCAGTTTCAGCATTTGGGCAGTGTTAGTATTTGTGTTCTAGGTTGCAAGTACTAACGGAATAGCTGGTTGATTGGGGAGTGACCAGTCACTCACAGTGGGATTAACTGAGCCTTGACCAAGAATAAGTGATCTGCATGGATAATTAGGTATGTGAGCCTATTTCATAGTGGGAACCTCGAGATATCAGAGAGTTGAGTAGTCAGTTGAGGGATAAGCAGGCTGGTTTTATCGATACTGATTCAGTATGAGTGGTCTGTCAGGGAATAAGACCATCTCAAGACAACAAATTTCAGAAAGAGTGGATGTGAACTTGTTGCGAGGAATTTGTTCACCTGCGGATGATTAGGGTTTCGCGAAGATTGGTCACAGCTACCCTGGAAAGGCCAGGGTATGCCCAGGATGGTTACCATGTTACTAGAGTGGGTGGGCGAGTAAGGAATGGTAAGGAATGATTTCGAGGACGAAATCTAATTTAAGTGGGGAGAGTTGTAACGCCCCGTTTATTTATTAAATGAATAAATAAATTAATGAACGAATAATGACCCTAAAATAAATAATTAAAAGTTTAGGGGGTTAAAATATAACTTCCGAATTAATTATAAAGAATTTTTGAAGTCAGGGGCTTCGTGGTAATTATTGGAACTTAAGTTGAAAAGAATGTGGGGAGGAGGGACTAAAATGTTAACATGGCTGAAGTTTGATCATTCAGACCTAATTGTGAAAGGATTTTGGATGTTGGGGGGCTGCTTTGTAAATTATGGCATAATATTGAAAGAAACTCGAATGGGAGGGACCTATATTGCCATTATGGCAAACTTGTAAGATGGAACAGGTATTTAAGAGTTATAAACCCTAACCCTAGGAATCCCTCAAACCAGCCGCCATCATCGGGACTCCTTCATCCGCCAACACCCTTCCTTGCTCTCGGACCCGCCACCACCACTCATGACGCCGGACATCGCACGTAGACGGGGAGGAACCACCATGACCGGCCGAAGGAACCTTGATGGAGGAGCTACGTCGTTGCTGCTAGAACTGCAAGGGAAGCCGGAAAAGTTGCTGAGATCAACGAGGGAGGCCAAGACCGTTGCAGCCGCCGCTTCCGGCCCTTAGATCCCGCTGTCGCTACTCCTTCGCCGCCGAGAAACTACGACGTCGCTGCTGTTGGGTCCTAGTCGGAGGCTGTGTGCATTTCGTTGCTGCCGCTCCGAATACCATGTGTCACCGTAAGGGTGGTGGTGTTTAGATGTATTTCCGGTGGCTGACACAGCAACCTGCCGTTGCTGACTCACCGGAGTTGCTGCCGCCACTGTCACCGTGAATGCTTCCTTTCCGCCGTCAAGACCCCCGCTGCCTCCTCTCCATGGTTCTGCCATCGCCGCCATGTGCCATCTGGTGGTTGTTGGGTGTTCTTTGCAAGCAAAAACGGGTGTGTGTGTGTGTTTCCGGTCGTGGGTGTGTTGTGTGTGATCTATTTTGGCCGGAAAACCTAGAACAGCCACCACCACTACCACCGTGTGGTGGTGGCTGCCGCCACGTGCCACCACCGGCCACCACAAGGGTGGTTGTGTGTGTGTTTATCTCTTAGCGTGTGTGTTTATTTTGGGTTGTAAAATGTTATTAGTAGAAGAATAATGAAATGAAACTCAAACCACCACCGGCCGTCGTGTCGGGTGGCGGTGTGCTTGCCTTGTGAGTTTGATTCGTTTGGGGGTGCTTGAAACCCTAATGGGCCTTGTAAGCCCTAATGAGCCCAATGAAGCCCTAATGGACCCAAAAGCCCAAACATGTGTCTAATGGGCTTACTGAACCCTAATGGATCTAAGGACCTAACTATTGGACCTAATGGAATAATATGGGTTGGAAACCCTAACTAGGGTTTGGAAACCCTAATGCCATGAAACCCTCATTTGGGATTTATCGGGATCACATCGGGATTAATTAATGAACTTAGAATATTAATTAATAATCATTGGCAAAAATTAATCTAACTAATATTGGACTTAATGGGTTAAGTAGGAAACTTAACCCTAATCACCATTTTATGAGAAACCCTAATTTCACTTGGGTTTATTGTTGGGCCTTTCTATTGGGCCTTGATGATTGGGTTATTAATGGGTCATCCAAAGTCAAGCAATTGGACTAGAATAATTTAATGGGCCTAGGGTAAGGCCCATATAAAGGGTTTGGGCCCAATTTGGAAAATTGGGCCATAGTTTGGGCCTTAATGATTATATGACGTTGGGCCTTAGAATAAGACCATGTATAGGCCTGGGATGTGTTGGGCTTTGATTTCCTAGTTGACTTTGGGCCTATGGATTGGGCCTTGGGCTTGCATAAAGCCAAGCTTGGGGTAATGTAGTAATTATCCAAAGAATGCACTCATGGTTATGTAGTGGAACATATTTATTAATTGGGTGTTATTTATGTGATTGACAGTTCGGGAATCTGTGATCCAACAGCTGGGATTGTGTCTACGGGACTTCAGCAGTGTGAGGTGAGTTACCTTCCAGTAGCGGTGGGTCTACGGCCACAATGCCGGCCCACCAGTAGGAGTTGTATGTTGGATGATTGTCTTTGTGATATTCATCTGGGTTTGCTACTACCTGATATGTTTATGTGCTAGCATGATATGTTATATGTTATAATGGTAGTAGGGCGAATATAGTCCCCAAGTTCGGTCGTTAGGACCGAGGGGTAGGTCGGACACCCCAGAATTGTCTGACAGTATGTTTATGCTATGATATTATGTGGTAGTAGTAGGAGGTGAAATAGTCCTCGTATGTCGGTCGTAAGGACCGACGGGTAAGTCAAGCACCCCAAAATGGCTTGACCTGGGTAGTCAGGCACCCCAGAATTGCCTGACAGTATATGTGTGTTACATTATTATGTGGTAGTGGTAGGGGTGAAATAGTCCCCGGTAGTTGGCGAAATAGACCGACGGGTAAGTCAAGCACCTCAGAATGGCTTGACCTGGGTAAGTCAAGCACCCCAGAATGGCTTGACCTGGGTAGCCAGGCACCCCAGAATTGCCTGACAGTATGTTATTGTATGGTGTGTGGTATGATGGGGGAACTCACTAAACTTCGTGCTTACGGTTTACAATTTTGGTTTCAGGTACTCGTTTTTAAAAGAAAGGAGCCGGTTCGATCGCAGCGCGTCACACTATGGTTTTCTGCACATGAGATCTTTGGGATTACACTCTGATATTGTTTTATAATATTATGGATGTTTCGTATACTATTGGTTTTATAATAACTTAATTTCAATGAAATTTTTGGCCTTGAATTTTGGGATGTTACACACCCCCTTCGGTCTCTTTCAACCGACACTAAGTCTTTTTCACCCCCTTTGGTCTCTTTCAACCGATATTGGGTTTATTTCACCCACTTCGGTCTCTTTCAACCGCGCCTGGGTCTATTTCACCCCCTTCGGTCTCTTTCAACCAGTATCGAGTCTATTTCACCCCTACATCTAAGCATACAATTATACCAACAAGATTCACAAAGACAACGAACACATACATGCATAACAGTAAGTGTCACAAAGACAACTATCATTCTAAAAACATAATCCAGTGGGTCGGCATTGGTGCATTCGACCCATGAGTACAGTGAAGGAACTCACCTATCAAATGATGGTCAACTGCAACTTCTACTACAGTTGCGAACACAGATGCTACCAACTACCTATACAACCATATAAAGTACGTCCTTAGCTTCTCCTCGAAAACTAGGGGTTTGACTAAAAGTCAATGCAAGTCAACGGTCAACGTTGACTCTCCACGTCGTGGCCATCCGTGGCCACGTTATGGTCCCAAAAGGACAAAACAGATAATCTGACCCCCGTCGCCACGACGTGGTGACCTGATGCCACGTCGTGTGAACTGGGTTCCAAACAACTTAGTTGATTAAGCTGTTTTCTGCAACCTCACGAGCTTCAAAGCTAAGATCTAACTCAAAACATGATCTAGAAGGATAAAGTTTCTAACTTTACCCACTAGGACCATCCAAGAAGTCTAAAACTCAAATCTTAGGTTCCACAAGGCATGAACTTAACCATTAAGCACTTATTCCTTTAACTCCGAAGTCCATCTTTTCCAAAGGTGTTTCTAACCCTAAAACCAACATGAAAGTTGGTGCTTTATAGACATGCATGTCCAATGCATGTATTGAACCCATATTAGGTCAAAATCAGAGTTTATGACCTAAATCTCATGCATGACTTCAAAATACAAACAAACTTCATATCCAAGCCACAAACTACACCAAATGTCCCAAAGATTCATAAAGTTGCAAAATTTATGAGATCCCACCATTCTAACTAACTAGAACAATAAGATTATGATTTACGGGACAAAACTCAAGTTAAGGACACTTATAAAGGTCCAGAAGTGCGCCAAGGTAAAAAATGGAAACTTGTTTGTTGGATCCTAGCTCAATAATTCCTCATTCTTCCTTCAAAAGCTTTCAATAACACCAAAAAGAGCTTCAACAATATAGGGGAACGATTAGGGTTTCTTCAAGGCTTCAGGGGGCTGATGGAGGATGAGGATGAGCTAACCCTAGCCTCCTCATTCTTTTAAATAGGGAGTAATTAGGGTTTTTACCATCAAGCTGCTGCCAAGCCGTGGTGGCTAAATGAAACATGCATTTTAATCCAGACTTGCCACATCGTGGCAACCCTAAACATGCCAAAATTTTTAAATACACAGTACCTCAAAATCCGGATGTTACATTATCTTAATACAAAACCTATATTTTTATCATATATATATATATATATATATATATATATATATATATATATATATATATATATATATATATATATATATATATATTATGTATTAAGCCTATTATCCATGACGTTGGTAACTTTTCGTAAATAACGATCGGTGCCAAAAGTCGCAATTGTTACAGTAATCCTTATAAAATATTAAGTGACAATGGAATGAGAATTAGCTATTAAGATCTAAAGGAAAGTTGTAGTTGACGTCAATATAAATATGTGAATATAAAGAACTAGACCTGTAAATGGGGCGGTTTTGGAGCGAATCACCCTTGATCCAAACCCGTTTAAAAAAATAAAAACATGACCCGCCCCGCTCCAATAACCCTCAGGGTCTTGAATAGTCGAATCTATACCCGTATCTATCGGTTCAATGAATACCCGACCCATTAACCCGACCCTTTTATAATATTAAATTTTCATAATTTTTATGTGTTCCAGAAAGTAATATTTCTCAAAAAGATAAATATCTATTTAAACAAGATGTACATTAAGTAATACTCAAAGTCCAATACAATAAAAATCACATTTTACTTGGACATCGAGTTGTATATTTTGTTGTCATATATATATATATATATATATATATATATATATATATATATATATATCTATATATATATATATATATATATTATATATATATATATATATATATAATGGGGCAGGTTATAAGTGGAGCGGATCGACAAAGATCCATACCCGACCCATTTATTAAAAGGGTAAACGGGTAAAGGAATCGAAAATTAAAATCCAAACCCATAAAATTCTTACGGGTTTGGAGCGAATCAGGGTCAAAACCCGCCCCATTGACAGGTCTATAAAGAACATCGAAAATGGAACTCCTATATGAGAGTTACAATTTTCTGAAGATTACGAGAAATACCTGCAAAGATGACGACATGACCACCCAGAGGGCGCCACGTGGCATAACCAGAGTCAACTCTTCCGCCTATGCGACGACAATGTGGCCCAAGAAGATAACAACATGTGGCACCACCAGAAGAGAGGAACGTCGCCGCGACGCAACACGCCCATGACCACGGGGCGACGCGCCTTCCAAAGACTATTATAAATAGCAAGCCATTTACTTCATACTTCTGTGCAAATTTTGATTTTCTCTCTTTAGAAGCGTTTCCAGCACCCCGAGATCATACTTATGAGTTTTTCAATATTCTTAGTGAGGCGCTGTCACGCTGGAAGCCCAACATAATGAAGTATTCAGCGTTAAAGTTCTGCCCGCGAAGTTTGCGAGTTTTCACTAGAAAACCCATAAGTTCAGTTGCACTTACTATGCTTTTTGGTGTAACTTATATTCATGTTCATTGTCATTGTTATGAATCTATGAATATGATTTATCAGTAATTTCAGTATTAATATTGATTGATCTACTTATGAGATTGATGTCTAGGCAAGATCTTAGTGGGGTGTTTCAAGTGGATTTTCCAAATAGTATATTTATATACCAAACGGATCCTACCCCCAATATGATTTTACCTGGTCATTCCTTATTTGATAGAACTCGGTAGTCATTGGGATTAATGAAGAATGTGGAAATAGCTAATATAACCTTATAAATACAAACGAATACTAA